AAGCTGATATGGTACATTGCTAGTAATGGGTTCATTAGTCCACATTACTAGCAATCCCATTTCCCCCCTGTTATTATTGTAACGCTGATTTCTAACAAATTGATTTACGCGCTCATCGTTCTACTGCATTTATTTGTAAGGTGACATATATTCATTGGGTTAGGATAGGTTAACGCGCTTGACTTCACCATCATCCTATCATCCTCCACTGCTGCTGTTTTTTACTTGTGGAAAATCCGTTATGAAGATCCGTTCGCCCCAGTGGAGGCAAACAGGTGTTGCAGGACTACCGGCTATAAACCACAAGCTGCTCGCTACGGTGCCGGAGTCATGGGTCGTGTCATGATTCAAGCGCAGTCCACTGGTGCCCGCGTAAACTATTGGCGCAGGCGCACTAAATGCACCCGGCACTTCAAAATAATATTTATTTCAATATCATCCATTGAAAAACCAGCGAATCAGCAGAAATTTTAAATTCTATTGGGGTAAATCGACCGAATACGGCACATTTCTACTCCTTATTACTAGCAATATCTTCCCCCGGTTTCTAACGGTGTGCGTAAAACACAATAGTAAACTAATTTAAATCTATTAAATTAAGTAAGTATTGCGCACAAAACTAGTATAATGAGTAGATAGTAGCTGTATGGGCAGCGAGTGCGCGATATCCGGCCACTAAACGTAATATTATACTGATGCGCACTACTAGGGGAACTTTAGGATAAGATGAAAAGTGATTATAATAAATATTATAATTTCATTATTATGTAACATTTATTTTCTCAACAAAGTATACAACGTTACAAGTAAGACGCTGATTGTTTTTAACCTGACTGGAATGGTAAATGTACTGAAATCCTACCGGACGGTTATTCCATTTTGGCCTACATACACCATAGGCCATGGATATAGGTATGTACGTGTGATGCGACTGACATTATCTTACGTCTGTTTTGTAATTTTACTGTCATATAGGGTGCTATATCTCTATTATGTTATTATTTGGATAATAAACTTATTTACTATTTTATTATTATGCAATCATACACTGTCATTAGTTAATCTATAATCCGTATTTGTAATCTAATATTTAAATTAGTTATTACTTGTAGTGTAATAAATAAAACATATAAATAAAAACATATTGATATAAATATAATAATACATATACTTTATTGCATTTATTACATTAATAAACAAAAACAGTTATACAAAAATGTGAGCAAGGGCGGGCTTATCTCTGCAAGAGATCTCTTCCAGCCAACCTAACGCTGTGACAGAGGTGGTAGTTAGCGGGCAACGATAGTGCTTGAGACTTGCATTAATGTGCAATGAATGAACCTATACAAATATAGCCTAAAAAACCTATAAACTGTCATTCACAAAAATATATATAATAAATAACGAAAATAGTGATTAAAAATATATAGGAGATTATTAATTACAAAATGTTACTATACTGAACATATAAATGACTTACTTAATTAAATATTGTAGATACACACAAAAATATTGTGGCACACTATATATTTTTTAAATAAATAAGTAAAAAATATATAGTGTGCCATATGTGCCGCAATTCCCCGGTCGCGCTCAGTAGCGCGTGCAACCGCGCGGGCGCAGGAAGGCGCATCTCATCTCGCGCAGGATGCGAGCTATATGAGCTACCGGCCCGTGGTCACTAGATCCTCTTACTAGCCAATGGTGACCTTACACGGGGTCATATGGATCAGGATCATTCTAGATTTGGTGAATGACATTTGAGGTTAGTTGTAATATGAGAAATTAACTTTATCAAAATTGTAAATAAAAATTTTAAACAGGTACTTTAATATATTTAAAGTTAGACCGATGTTGAATGAATGTACTAGAAATCGTAATAATATACCTTTACGACTGCTATTCCAGGTGAAATAGTCAGAGGCATTGTCAACTATCAACGTCGTAGTGAACGCAACGCTTCACATGCTATGTGCAATCTATATTAATCTATATCATCGCGCCGTGACCAATAGGAGCGGAGTATAAATGAAAAAATAACGGGGTCTCTTATATGACGCAGACGAAGTTGTTTAGAAGTTTAGTTCAACTAATAATTGATATTCTTAATTAGAGAATACAACCAGTTAATATTTGAAATTGATATTTTTAACGAATATTGAGGATATTTCAGTCTTCTTATATTACATTTTATTGGTCAAACATGTTATCACCACAGCAAAAGTATTGAAACAAGAATAACGTTACGTGGGAAAATTCATTATTATTTTAGTCACGGTCAACAGTATCAAATAGATCTATTCTTGTGCACTATTTACTTTGTATTACATTTAAATAATACTAGCTTTTCCCGCGATTTCGCTTGTCATTTAATTCAATATTTCGTCAATTTATAAATGAGATCCATTATAATTTTTTTTAAAGTTTGTTTGGATTAGCAACATATAATGGTCATGTAGTTCCTTGAATATGTTAGTTTGTAATATATTTTCTTAAATATATGCCAATGTAGTAGTTAGCTATTATAAAAGTAATGAAAATGTCTAAATGATTTAGTTTTTTTTTATTATTATGTCTAAAATATTCCTCATGTATCGAGCGGCTTCAATAAACACACAGAACTCAATTTAGCTTTTTCAAACGACTACTGAGAGTAATATTTTATCAATTCGACTGTATGTTTTTTGTGCGTATTCTCTACGGTATCAACCAATTCTGCTTCGATTTTTATTGTACCATACTTTCATTATCTACTAATTTTAACTTAATTAAAGTAACTAAGTATTTATTTGCGGTGCAAATTCTTGCCTGGTTTGATATATAATCTACACGTCCATATATCCTATATATAGGTATAAAATACACATATATTCAGCGTTCTAAATTCAAATATATATTTTAAATTTCAACTCACTGTTCTCTTGGTTGTTATTATTCAGTCATTGCATTTTTTTCTCTAAACTGCATGCTTATTACTTGCTTGCCAGTATCTCGTTATACTTCCAATAATATGAAATAACAATAGAATTGGAGCCATAAGCGACTTGTACATTTGTAATCCATTATTATTGAAAAGGATTAATAATAAATTAAATGCTTACAAAAATCTAAATTAGATGCAAATTCTTACTTTAAAATAAGAATCAATAATGATAGTCCAATTGAAGTCGATTCTCAGCAGCGCATAACGTTTCCGTTCAAAACGCATTTATTGATTGATTCTAAGTAAACATGAGTATGTATGTATACTCATACATTTTCCTGCTTTACTATATAAGTTCTAAATATTAGGATTTGGAATACTAGTCTCAGTAATCAGATAGGGACAGTCTACTTTATTTATTATGAAACGTTTCGCATAAAACCATAACTGGCACATAAATTAATTACGTTGTAACATTGTTTTTAAAGCCTGCCGCCGGATATGTCGAGTCCCCGCGACGGGCTAATGAGCGCGCTTCCGACGCGTCGCCGTCACGGTGACGCACTTGCAGTTTTGACGCATCTCTGACGCATATGCAATTTTTACTTGCATATTGTAATGATGTTTATTATTTAGAAATATGCATTTCTTTATTTATTATTCTTTGCACTGGAATATAAACCTACCCCAACTTTAAAAGAATACGTATTACAATTAATATAAATATATGTGAAATATACAATGAGAAAAATACTTCCCGTTACGCGGCGCGGCTTTCCCAATCTTGAGGTGCCTTTTGATGAATCTCTGACAGGTCCAACTAAGGAGTTGGATCTGTCAATTGACGATGCCATAAGGACATGACCTCATGTCATGTCCCTATGGATATTATTAATTCAGGTAGTTAGTGGCCAGCCTCGTCCTCTTTTTATTGTTGCCATTGATAGGCACTTCTTCACTTGGTTTTCGGGTTTTCGCAACACATGTCCATAGCACTCAAGTCTATATTACTTTGAGAGGATTGGTTAAGAAAGGTATATTACGGTTTCTTTAGAGTCGGCAATATGCACGTGACACCTCTGCTTTTTAGGCGTCGGCTACGGTAGACTACGGTAACCGCTTACCATCGGATGGGTCGTATGCTTGTTTGCCACCATTGTAGTATAAGAAAAAATAGTAATGAAGGCCAGCGGCGCCATTTCTAGCGATGAACTCTAACATCTTAATCTTCAGATACTGTCCATTATTCCATTATTATCCGTTAAAAGAAACATACCTAGCAGGTAATAGGTGTGGACTAATGTCAAAAAATGTGAAATATAGTAGGTATTATAGCTACATGTGTGTAGATAAATTGATGCTGCGTGCATCAATTTATCTACACATATTCATTGGCAAAAAGGTTTTTACAAAAAAAAAAAACTAAGCACTATCATTAATATCATTGTTATTTTTATATTTTATTTGCATTCTATTATATATTATAGTAATAAGAGTATCTTTATTTTTAATTTGACTTTGTACAAAGTAGTAGTCTACGTATGTACTTCAGTCTCACATATTTCAGCTGCCTAGCGGCTTGCTGTATAAGGTATGTTTAGGTTGAAGGATAGGTATAATGATATCGAAATGGCAACGCATGAAGATTGCCATGGGCATCACATGATAACGTGCTGTATATTGGCGGATACTATCAGACGGACCGTCTTCATCATTAGTTCAGCTCGGAAGACGCCTGCTGGTATATAAAGACCACGCCCAAAAATCTCCACGGACCGGCGTGGAGATTTTTAGGGAGGCTTTTGTCCTACGCATCCAATGCTTTCTAGCGGCCTTGACCAGATCGTCGATTCACCTTATTGGAGGCCTTTCTACTTGGTGTTTTCTGATTTTAGTGCCCCAACTGTCCTAAGAAATATATGCTATAACCCTCTCCATTACCCTTTAAGTGATTCAGAGTATATTTATGAGGCCCATAGTTCGCGATCAAGTCTCTGTACCATTAGTTATCTCTGGCAAAAGTAATGGATTAAGTTAATTCAATTACTTATGTAAAATAGCCTGATGTAGTACTTACTTCATAATATTGACATGTGTCCTGGTCTGATGGTCGCGGATGCTGCGGGCGCGCCGCCGGAAACGGAAGTCACGGGCGCGTTCGCGCGCTCATCTGTGGAAAAATAGCCGTCCGTCAGAATTGCTAGGTTGGTCACACTGCCTACTCAATTCACGAGTGACATACTGTTGATACATTTATACATTCTCAATTTATATGAAGGTTCATGATTTATGATTGTGGATTGTTTTTTATGATTGATGCAAAAGTTGAAATGTACTCTACTCGCTGATCTGTAATATTTATTAATATCTGGCAATTCTTTTGTGGACTCCCGCGATACAGGTTCGTCTAGTGTGGGGTCCAATGTATAATTAACTTTGTAACTATGTTTCAAATTAAATAAATAAAAAAAGTAATTAGTTAAAAATGATTGTACGTATAATGCTTCATTCCTGTGACTGGAGGTCTAGTAATGCCTCTTTATACGATTTATTCATACATGTGATTTTAATTTAATAAATCTCTTGTATATAGCTAAGTACGGCGCATTAAACTTTAAACAAATCAAGCAAGCGATCTCTAAACTGAGAGTGTAATAATAACGTACTAGTTAGTATATTTTTAAAAGATTTGTATAGCTAAAAATACTGTGAAGGCAGTAAGATAATTTTTCTTTTTTAATCTGTATTTATGAATTCTGGGAATTCCGGAGGGAACTGAAAATAACAGATCTACGCGGCTGTAGTGAGAGATAGCTATTGTAACGTTAAAGTACAGTTCTCGTCTATTTAAATAAATTTATCAGTTTAATAGAGATTAAAGTTACTTTCACTGCACCGTAAAAAAGCAAATATTCCAATTTTTTTTTGTTTGGTAATAAGGAAAAATCGAAAACTATCATCGATCGTGGGTCCATTTAGTACTTTCGTTCCGTGAGCTAATGGAAAGCAGGGAACGTGACGTTAGCGGGGCGTGACCCCGCACCGTGACCCCGCGGCGTGACCCGCCATTGCGCCGTGAAATCCGGCAAATCGTCGTGCGCCTGCGACTTCGACGCTGCGGTGCTATACAGTCAGTCGAAAGCTGTTTACAACTAACGATATTTCTATATCTATATATTATAGTTATAAGTATATTAGTAAAAAGTTACAGTTTTAGTGTAGACAGTACAGTATAGCAGACAGTTTTTACTGCCTGACCGCAAATTTACAAAATATAAGTAATAATAATAATTTATTGCAATCTTGGTTTGTGTTACATAGTTACGTTGTATATAACAATAAAATACATTTAAACGTATACGCATAATTGTGCCACCTGAAGTAGTATAGAATTATAGATATAAGTAGTTTGTTACTAATATATAATAAAAGAATTATATTTCCGATAGTGTCCCTTTGTAATAGATTCAAATAAAAGACGAATTTAAATATGTGTACTTTTGTACAGGCAGTGTAATCTATACCTTAGTACCTAGTTTTTAATCATGATAAACATGTCTATGTATTTAATTTTTATATTGGAAATCTTAACCACATAATATAATTCTTCTGCTAGTTCTTCTTCATTGCATTTCATTCTAAAAAAATCTAAGAGATGACTAGAATAACAAAGCACAATATACCTACCTACTCATATAACAGAACAATAACTTAAAATACCACCCTATATTGATATGGAAGTACATATAATGAATTATTTAAATTTACAATATCACTTTTGAAAAAATTAATTCTTATATTTGCGACAACTAAGGCAAACATAACGAAGCTTTGCTTGTTCTAATTATTATAGACTAGATAAACTAGCTCAAGATATATACATAGATAGGAGCTGATGACTTTGTACAAAGTCCACTTCGGAACTTAGTAATTTGCTGTTATTGAAATTGAAATTCAAAATATCTTTATTTATGTAAGTTAATTACAGACTCTTATAATATGTCAAAGCTACCGTCGGTTCGAAATGTTTTCGAGATGAGAAGAACTGACAACTAACTCAGCTCGTATTGTTTTCAAATAAATGTTGTCCATGTTTACAATATACAGATTCATTTTTAAACTCAAATTTGGGAGAATTGAGTGACCACCAGCATATGCTATTGCTAAAGCAAATAGTCTTATAGAAAATATTCTCGATTTAAAATTATTAGAACGAAACTAATCAAATATAATTGTAGGCGACACTGTAGTCATTTGCTAGTATAATATAATCGTGAAGTGTAAAGGAGATCAAGGTCCAGTATGACGGGACGGGTATGTGACTGGCTGGTGTGGACACTCGCACGCTCCTAATCGCTCAGAGAATTAGAGAAGCGACGCCACACTTTTGCAATAATTACAAATATAATGTGACTCTAATGTGGTGAAGCGGTGAGGCGAAACACCACGCTCACTTAGAACGAGAAAGTGTTAATAGATTTTTTATTATTTGCTTCAAATGCGCCTATAATGATGGATACGAGAATATTTTCTATAAGAATTTACAATACCAAAATATTAACGGGAACGTAAGCTTTACCCATCTGAGGTACGGTCCATTTGTAATTTCATTTAACTCTGTTTAAGCATGATTGAGTAAAAACATCTTATGAAATTTCACATTTACGTGGATTTTCATAAGGTATAATATATTTATTAACAGCCAGGATAGTCTAGCGATTTAGCACACCACCTTACTTTTGAGTGATCTAGGGTATGATTTTTCGCACGATACCAACATTTGAACCAACATTCATGAATATGATTGTTAGTATTTGTCTAGATGTTCTCTATGTTATATTATGTATGCATTTACAAATAAAATGTATACAATTACAAATATAAACTTTGAAATACAAAATTGGTATAATGTCAGTTGGAAATCGCCTTATATTCCTTAAAACTCCAGTCAATAATCCAAACAACACCCTGTTAGTGTGGCGACATATAGATATTTATTTATTTATAGATACACTTTACATGAATAATTATAGATAGATAGATCAACTAGATAAGTCGATTATTTAGAAAATGCACTAAAAATAACTATGGTAAGAAAACTGTTATTAGCGGATGAGAGTGGGGTAGTTTAGACTCACGCGCAGTCGCGCAGCCAGCACGATTGTCAATTTTCCTTTATGTCCGTGACCTTTCTAACATTACTTGCAATAAAAAATACTCCGGTTCACTGCTATATTACAGTTGAAAGTAGAAAACGGTTTTAATGTGAATTTCGCAACTGATGCGAAACGTATTGGAAAATAACTGTTTTGAAAACTCCGCCCCTACAATATTTATTAGGTTTCGTTCTGAGATTTCCACCGAAAATAGATGAAATAATTGTATTGGTACTTATGAAGATGGTACATGTTTTATTTGCGAAATAATTACACAACAATTACGTTGAATTTCACTGTACTTATTATTTAAAGGTTGGAATAAATACATATTGTTTTATATTGTTCTACATTTTGTTTTAGTATCTCCGACATATCCCTCTAATTCATTTATTAAGTACTGTATAATAATAATATTATAATAAATAACACAGGACAATTCACACAGCGCCATCTAGCTTAAGCTGAGCAGTGTTTATGATATGGTATTGATAAGTGATGGACATAGGTACTTGAACATTTTTTTTTAAATCCACACATAATATACATAGAAAACACTCAGACCGATAAGTAGTAATATAAGCAATTAATATTGTATATGACATTATTACAAATATTTGCATAGTGCGAGATATCGAAAACACATCGAAAGTACCTAAAGCGGTATGATGAACCTCTATATCTGAGTCTGTAAAATATTTAATTAAAATGAATTAAATATAATACATTCATGATTATAATATTATAATATTGGCATATGTCAGCAAATTTTGAGCTAATATTAAAACAAGTTTCCTGGCATATGCCAGGAAACTTGTTTTAATATTAGCTCAAAATTAATTGAATAATTTCTAGATATAACATATATTTTCTATATCAGTTAGTTATAATTAATATTAAAGTACCTATATAGAGAATTTTGAGAGGATATACACATATAATACGACTATGATCAACTATAAAATGAATTCCTACGCAGTGTTCACCAAAAACCGTAAATAATAACGTACTAAAATTCTGATATAAAAACATGTAGGATAATTACTCGGGGAGCGGTCCCCATAAGGGCCCAACTATAAAGTAATAAGATCCGATGTATAGCGCACTGAGTGAAATAAATAGGATACTTGATGGACTGTTTATGTCATGGAAGCGGGTTTGTGCAAGCATTCACAGATTTTGATGGGGTAGAAGTGTACAGTCGTGGACGAAATTATTTTTGAATAATTGATTACTTCGAGTATTTACTTTTATAAATAAATTTATTTTGTTATTAATAAACGCAGGAAAACATAATATATTATACATAACAATATACGAGTATATCTATTTAGACACCTATAATTATTTCAGAATGGAATTAAATTAACATGGTAGTTTCTGTATTAGTAAAACAACGTTTGAAACTTATAAAATTGTATATTTTGTTTAAAAAAGGTCACAGTTGCTGATCTATTTTCTCAGTCGCAGAATCTTTAAAAAATATACTGTGCTTATATTAAGTTTATTGGAATATGTTTTTAGGCGTATTATACAATATTGCTTTGAATATTATATATTAATTGGTTGACTCGAAAGTTCATAAGCATACCTACTACGGAAATGTCCCGTTTAGAAGCGACGTTTATATCAATATTTTAGATATACAGATTTCATATTAGGCTTCGAGATTCTTTAATATTCCGGTATTGGTAACTAATCTTAAGTCTTACCAAGAAAAATAATTAATTTGTATAATGTTATATATAATAAAATTCTGTAAATTTGTATAATGTTATTTAGGCGAATTTTCTAAGCAAAGATTGCAAAGATGAAATAATTGTGACAATCCTTTATCGATTCACAAATGGAATATTTAATGTTTATTTTATGTTCTTATTTTATGTGTAGGTAAGTTAAGGTGTTATGTGTTTTTATTATTATTATTATTATTCTTATGTGTTATTTTCTTACGCTTGTTAATTGAATTTTGTTTGTAATCTCTTTGTTTGTGTTATCTGGATACGAATAAAGA